CAATCTGGCAAGCGCAAGGCCTCACAGAGTCTTCCTGCAAACCCTTGCAAAAAACAGAGGCGTGTGGGTGGTGCTGTGGGTGGTGTGGCCACAACGGTGGGCGCCTCAAGCCCTCCACCAAAAGCCACCTTGCGTGGCCGCAACGTGCGACTCCCACACAAGTATCGATAGCCAGAACAGTTGCCTGAGTCTACAGATTACAACACCAAAAAATCTCGCAATAATATATATTGTATGTGGTTGTACAGCTTCATTTGTGGGTGCCTGTGAAGGCGCTAGCGCGGTCGTTTTACCAACATGATCGTTGTGCGCACAGACACGGTACGGTATCAGAAGTTTGCGACCATGTCTGTCACCAAGCAGAAGTCTACTGATAACCAAGCAGCCATTATATACAAGCGAGCAATTACCGACCTTCGTCTTGCTAACGATGGACACTTGCACCCAAAGAAAGGGTTGAAGGACAACATATCTACTGCGAACAACCTGCCTGCAGTGTTTTGCCATATCACAGAGTACAGCGATACTGCAAAGCACAGCGATAACGTAAAGCGCAACGATACTGTAATGTACAACAATATTATTGATGACCAATTCGAAGACGAGCCGTCTTTCACTGGCAGCACGACCTTGACGTTGACGCCTATCGGTAGCCCACAGCCTCGCGTTCTGCCTTCGTTTCCTGATCTATGCGAACTTCTCGCGCCTTGAATTGATCGCAAGTAGATGAGACTTATCCCTCGTGAGCACATGCTGCATACAGCAATAAGATTGGTACGGAGTTATCTTGTCTTAGTCGCAGTGCGACCCTCACACAAACGGCGACATCTCTTGACCTGAATGTCAAGACATGCTGCACCTTGCGCACTTGTTTCTTCTTCGCACGATACAGAAATAGGAAGAAGCAATTCGAGACAACACCTTGCCTACTAAATTGATAGCGATGTGACTCTTCTCATCCCTACTCTCCTATGCGCCCCCAGCCCGCAGCGCATTCAACATCCCCGTCTCTTCGTGCCACCCTACATACTCAAAGAACCGATGATCCTCCTCCAAGACATAGGTCTCGTGAAACAGACGCAGACTCGGCACATTGTTGAGCTTCTTCGCATACATCAAAACCCCTCCGAAGATATCGAGGTGCGTCTGATGACTTTTGCTTTAATCCTCAAGCGAGCTCAGAGCATCGAAGAATCACAATCCGTACATCTTCTCGAAAATCGCTTCGTATGTCGAGGAATCGACAACATTCCAGAGGTTGTTGGCGTAGCATCCGATCGCTTTGCCTTCGTCACGGAGAAACGTCATCCCCTTGATGAGCACAGGGTGCATGGTCTCGAGATACAGTTTCCGCTCAGCAGGGGGTGTGGTGAACCAGTTCTGGCCCGAGCGAATAACGCACAAGTTCTTCTTGCCCGGGACTCTCATGCTCTTGCTCTTCTCACCTTCATGTGCACCATTCGTGCCGCCATGCTTAACATCAGGTACAAACTTGTCACTTTCTAGCCGATCATCCTGCGCCGCAGCAAGCCGTTCCCTCATACTGCCCAATACGCATGCTCACCCATCTCGCCGCTGATCTTCTCGCGCATGTTTGCTGCGCCCTCTGGAACTTCGCTGTTGGAGAAGACTTCCTCAAAGCAGTCCACAGACAGCAAAAGAACGTCCTGAAACCATCGATACCCGCCATATGATCAGGACTCCGCCACCACGCTCCAAACCCAGACTCACTTTTCCAGAATTCATAGTAGGGGGTGGACGGCCAGTATGCGATGATGGCGATATTGTAAAACCCGCGTTTGTCGGTGACGGAGGTTGCTTCCCAGAATGAGGGGGTTGAAGATGGAGATGTGGTTATGAAGGACTTCATCTTTTCGATGGAGGCGGTGGTGAAGGCGGCTGCGGAAGGGTACTGGGCGCCGATGGTGGCCATGACAAGGTTGGACATGCTGGTTGGGAAGCATGCGCAGTAGCTGGGGAAGGGAGGGGTGTAATTGGGTGGCATGCTCATGGGACATGGTCGAGGTTTTGGAGGTGTGGCGGGATTGCTGATTCGAGCATTCTGGAAGATTGACTTTGGCAGGTTCAGATATTGCAAGATCCGTTGTGGTGAAGCTCAGAAGCCTGAGCAGCTGCGATGGTTAAGTAGTAATGGATGACGATCCATTGGGCCTTGAGATAAACCTATAGGGTGTTCCAAGCCATACAGACCGGTCATATTGCCAAAGACACGCAGTGGAAGACCCTCCTTCGACAGCAGTGTGTGGAAGAAGGGCGCTGCAAAGAGGAGGGGGCCGGGGCGTGGAATTGTTCCGCTGCTGTCGCTTTGCTCTCTTTCCACTTCAGTCGTTAGCAGGCACGTTAGTGGTCCGTGATCATGGACATGAGCTGTGGTCACGACTCACAATATGTATGCAAGACATAAATGTCATATCGTGCGGTCAAAATCGTTTGTAGATTGGAGAGCGAAGTATGATTTGGATAACGAAATCCACTCAAGAGTATCATTTCCAGCATGAATATTTATAAGAAGTTAAGGCCCGTTCTGACTAATGCACACGTGAAGATCCGCTCAAGAGAGGTATGTAGTGTCGACCCAGTCTTTGTAAGAGCTGCCGAGGACAGTAGAGATGCTGATAGCGGCGGACAACTTTTCAGCGAACGTGGCCCTGGTGCCGCTTGCACCATCGCCAGTGTTACCGTACTCGCCGAAGGTGACCTTGTCAGTGCGAGTGTCGCTGCTGCTCCACTGCGTCCAGCCCTTAGCATTGATAACATTGGAGAGAGCGGTGTTCTGGAAGATGACGCGAGCGTAGTTCCTCCAGGGGCGACCGAGGTAATAGGCACCAGAATTGACGGTGTTACCGGAGGCAGCGGAGACCTTGGACTTGTTGATGACATAGTAAGATGGGTTGGAGTCAGAATCACGACCGTTGGCGGTGATGAAACCCTGGGAAGCAGCAAGAACACGGATGTCAACACCGTCGAACCAGGCGGTGGCCTTCTGTCCGAAGATAAAATCCGTGGCACCCTCGATGTACGACTTAGCGTAGACCTGGTTGCCAGTTTGAGCAAGGATGGTGTCTTGGAAGCCCTTGAACTGGCAGCCGTAGTAGCCCTGCTTGTCAGCGTTGGCACTGAGAGCAAGAGCCTGCGAGCCGGAACCGCGAGTGTTGACAAGGTTGATGTTGTACACCTTGAGGTTGGGTGTCCAGGCCCTCAAGGTGGCGGTGAGATCGTTGGTGGAGGAGTCATCCTGACTCTTGCCTTGTGTGATAGTGACAGTGTTCGATGCGAAACCGCTGGTATCGGTAGTCTCTCCGTAGATGGTGAGAGCTGACTTGAGGACTGGAACGTAGACCTGCTCCTTGTACGTGCCTGTCAAAAAGCGTCAGTTTGATGATTGCAAGTCAAAGGTATCGCTGCCTACCCTTGTAGATGAAGATGCACTGAGCAGTGGTGCTGGAGGTGCTGAGCTTAGCAACGGCAGCTGAAACGGTCTTGTATGTTCCTGAGCTACCAACGGAGAGACAGCCGGAGGGAGGAGATGTGCGTCCAGCACGGGCGGTCAGTGAGGTAGGGGCTGCAACAGCGGCAGCTGCAAGCGAAAGGACCAGCGCGAGCAAGTGAAGCATTTTGAAGAAACGAATGAAATGTTGATCGAGTCAAATGAAAGATACACCTACATCAGACAAGACCTACCGTATATATACAACATCTACTATATCCATGTCCAGGTTACGGAAGCCGTGGAAATTGAGGACATAGATGTGGATATTTTGTTTTTGCACCAAACACCATGAAACTATGTTTTGCTGACTGCCACGTAAACGAGTCCCCGCTTGAACAGCCGTCAAAAGGCCGTCGGGAGTTTTCCCCAGACTGCAAGGCATGTTCGAGGATACGAAAAAAGACTGCGTTGTTGCCTGGTTGGTGGAATCTATCATCGGTCCGTGCGGGGGCCTCACTTTGATTAAGGCGTGTCACAGGAAGCAAATGAAGGACGGTCAAGTTCTGCTCGAGACTGGACAGTGCGCCAAGACTAGACTGTTGATCCGCTTGTTCGCTCAGGGTGACGCGCGGTCGTTGGAAGAAGCTTGTATTGCGTGAGGTGTCGAAACCCAGAGCTAATTGTCGAGGTGTTGAAGTTCGTCAGTCACGTGCAGGCGAGCAGCAAACGATCCATTGATGTGTGAGAGACGCGCTAAGCCGCGGCGTATGCCGCAGAACACACGAAGCTGTCGACATTCATGTTACGACTGACAGCACCGAACCCCCGGTCTGTCGCGACACACAATGGGCCCGCAACAGGGCCAGAGCGGTCGGAATACGCAGGTGGACGCGATCGACCTGACTCTCTCATCACCAGAGCCTGAAGCTAGACCCCAACACCAAGTGAGCAGATATCCGCAACAACAGCAGCCTGCTGGAGCATTCAAGCAAGAGCCGGGGAGTTCGCATAGAAGTGCGCACAGCGGCAACGACCACGCCCAACGGCAAGGTTCCACCCGCAGCGGCAATGTTCCGCAGCAGCAGCCTCGCCGAATCAACCCACAGCATGTCAAGCAGATCATTGATACCAGTAGCCATCGCGCACTGCGACACATTGTGCTGCAGCTGTGCAAAACATCACCAGCGCTGTCTGGTGCGATTGCGCGAGGTCTGGCACCTCACTCAGCGTATGCTCAGCAGTTGATACGTGGACAACAAGCGAAGTCGCAGGCACAGACCCAACACACAATCAAGACTGAACCCAGGTCCAACGAACAAGATGCGTACGAGCGTATGAAAAAGCGCCTTGGACCTAGCAATACTACTCAAAGTTCAGCTGCGAGACCGAACACCCACCGCTCACCAGCGATTCATGAGAATCGAGACGGTCTTCGTTTGCCACCCAGCTCACAGAAAGCTCCAACAGTGAAGCGCGAACATCGGGCTAGTCCTACGGACTCAGACGACAGCACTGATATTGTCGATTTCCTAGATATCGATCGAGCTGCGCGGGGACATGATCCACGTAACCAGATAACAGCTAGTACTAGCTCCAGACATCACTCAATCGCTAATCTCAGCGCTGAAGGATTGGCTGGTCATCAACGTGCGACGCAATACGGTGCGCCTGACCAGAAGCCAAAACTTTGCTTGCAGTGTGGCGAACGGTTCAAGGAAGGCGATATCAACTGCTACTTCCATATTGGCCACGAAGGTCCCGCTAGGCCTGGCGACATTCCCCAATACACATGCTGCGGAAAATTCGTGGGCGAGCCTGGCTGCAACTTTGGTCGACACATTAGCGAAAGAACGGGCACGTTGACGAATTCCAAACGCCCATCGCCATTTCCTTACAATGGCTCACAATGGTCGAAGAAGCCGAGAGTTGTGTGACCTGAGTCTGTGCGACTCTGCAGCCCAGAATCCCTCTTTGACAACGCTCTCGCATGACACTATGCAAGGACGAACGATGTGTCACTCTCGATGAGCAACAACAATCTTGAGTATCGATCGGCCGTGTATCTACGCCACGGTCGGGTGAGGTCAATGAAGCCAGGGACACGCGCGCTTTTCGTTGAATGAGTTCTGCAACTTAGCTTCACTTTGCTTTGTACCTGAAAGATATTTGCATTGTTCTCGCGCCTCCTTAGCCATGATAGTTTCATCTTGCTTCAATCTTGCTTGCCTTATAGCTACCACGCTAGTGGAGATTTATTCTGGAAAGTGTGACTACCTGCTGCTCGTATTTTAGTGACACGACTACCTCCAGCCCTCCACCAGTGCGTCTGCCACGTGGAACGCCGCTTGTCCCTCCTCTAGTCACGTTACTGCAGCTCTGGAGACTTTTACCCTACTTCTACAATAGCGCGAATGTCTCCAGCCGCCATGTTGGCGTTCCTTCTTGCAACCGCTCTCGCCGTGGTTGCTACTCTACTTCCACAGACTTGGATCTTGCGGGATGCGCAGCTCTACACTGTTCGCGCCAATTGGTACTTGCCCGCCACGACTGACTGCCGCTACATACTTACTACCACTGCAGCTCAAACGAACCATGGCACGGACGGCACCTCGTAAACCTGCCCTCCACCAACCGCCTAGGACTCGAGAACTTCACCGTGAATCCTGAAACGCCACCACTCAAATTTCTTCTCGTACGCCTTCGAGACGACGACAACAAGTACGCTCTACGTGGAGACGGTATTGGCGACGATCTCTCCAGAACGCCTTATCTTACAGCACTCACCAACAATGCGACTCGTACGGTTAGTCTGAAGATCGTATACCTTCCTACCCCGTTGCGCGAGTCTTTCGAGACACAGACCAACGCCTGTCCTGAGGGCTACGATTGCACTGCGGACCAATGGACGTTTGGTGAACTCCATCCTGGAGACCCTGGAGGTAGTCAGATCTATCACAACTTCAGGTTTGGAGGCTTCAAGGGGAAGTGGGAGCCCATCAAGGACGCCGGGGGGGAGGGTTGGCACGTGTACTGGAAGGGCAACGCTGGGGTTGACCACCCAGTGCAGTTCGACCTGGTGCCCGTAATCTAGAGCGACAATCGTATCGACTGACCGCGCGAAGATATCCTGAATACTTCTAGGCTTGGGTCTTCGTTGTTTTTTTGATTACCGTCCTGTCACACCATGGTCATGTCTGAAATTCTGCGGTCTCAAGTATTCGGTTCGAACTGGTATGATGCTTCATATCTAACAGCTTTTACCTAATCTCTGGAGGTAATCAAATCATTTCGATACCAACTACGTCTGGTGCAGTATGACTTTCAGTCCAGATGCGACATTCCTGTTATCGTTGCTCCAACCAAAAATTTGGGCGATGCGGAAGCAGACATAAGCGGATACCTGAACACCTCCAAGCTAGGTCGATGATGAGTGAGGCTTATCCATCCGTCGTCCCAGCTTGAGTCGTCCAAGGTGATCGGTTTAGCACATATGCCAGTGGCACAGGGCAGAGGTAAGCATGTCCTTCCAAGAGGCGCGCGAGTCAATTGGTGGGTCGCAAGGCCCGCATGCATACAGCCGATCATGGTCCTACCCCTCGAATCCTTAATACCGAAAGTCTATACGAGAACAACGATGCGCAGTAAGCGGGGAAGATGCTCATCACAAGAGGCGCTGTGGAATATGTGAGTATATTGTCTCGCTGAAAAGATATCCCGGGCGGTTCCCTGCTGACCAGGCCGTTTCAGACCCGGTAATGATCGCTGCTAGCTCGTTTATGATTGGCGGAGGATTCCACATAAAACATACAACAGTGGTTTCGAAATGGAAGGACAAGCACGATCAATGTTCTTTACTACTTCGAGCTCGATGTTTCTGCCTGATGTGGAAATGGCAGCGAAACATATGGGATCACCACACAAGTCCTTCATACGAGGACGTCTAGAAGTACATATGGACCCCTTCCCCAAGTGAACGTCTCGTTCATCCATCCGTTCATTTCTCAACATGCGTTGTCTTTCCTACCTTCCACTGCTGGTCAGTACAGCATCAGCTCTCGCTTTCCCTGGTGCTGAAGGCTTTGGCAAAGACGCCATCGGCGGCCGCAATGGTAAAGTCTACGTCGTCTCCAACCTAAACGACTCCGGCACCGGCTCGCTTCGCGATGCCGTTTCGCAGCCAGATCGCATCGTCGTCTTCCAAGTCGGCGGTCTCATCAAGATCGAAGAGCGCATTGTCGTCTCCAAGCGCGTCAGTATCCTAGGCCAAACCGCACCAGGAGACGGCATCACAGTCTACGGCAATGGCTGGTCCTTCTCGAACGCGGACGACGCTATCGTACGCTACATCCGCATTCGCATGGGTAAGGGAGGAACAAGTGGCAAGGACGCAGCCGGCATTGCCGAAGGCAAGAACATGATCTTCGACCACATCAGCGTATCATGGGGTCGTGATGAGACCTTCTCCATCAACGGCGCCGCCACCAACATCACCATCCAGAACAGCATCATCTCGCAGGGTCTCGAGACGCACAGCTGCGGTGGCCTCATGCAGACCGAACTCGACAACGGCATCAGTCTTTTCAGGAACCTCTACATTGACAACAAGACGCGCAACCCGAAGGTCAAGGGCACAAACGACTTCATCAACAATGTTGTGTACAACTGGGGTGGAGGTGGTGGCTACATTGCCGGCGACTCATCTGGCCAGTCCGAGGCGAACATCATCGGCAACTATTTTATTAGCGGACCTAGCACGAGCGTTACCGCTTTCACGCGCGGCAACGACAACTTCAAGGGCTACGTTGAGAAAAACTTCTACGACTCTGACAAGAACGGCGCTTTAAGTGGCACAGAGCTCGGCGCCTCGAGCTCCAACTACGGCGGCATGGCAATCATGACAACGAAATTCGCACACCCAGAACCTGCGAAGGTCTTGTCTGCTACTGATGCGTTGACGTATGTCCAGTCGTCTGTCGGAGCCAGCAAGGTCCGCGATGCTGTTGACGAGCGCCTCATCACGGAGTTGAAGAGTTATGGCAAGGCTGGACAACTGATCAGCGATGAGAATGCAAGCCCGATGAATGGGCCTGGAACTATTGCTGGAGGTACCCCGTGGACTGATGCGAACGGCAATGGTATTCCTGATGATGTTGAGGACAAGTTTGATAATGTGGAAGATTGGGCCAACTCGCTTGTTTCGGGTGACTACTAGGGCAATTGAGGGGAACATCTTCATTTTCAGTGTATATATTCACAACCTTTAATTAGATGGTTCTGCATGGCATCGTTGCATCGCCTTCCGCAATTGGCATTCAGACCGTTCCAAAGAGCCGCAATGAGCATCGTCTCGCAACATCATGCCACATCAGGTATGTGTGAAGCGAGAAGGCAAGCAACACGTACCTCTACAATCAGTTTCGGGGGGTGCTCGAATTCTGTTTCCTTATCGTTTTCTACAGTTGCTCATATACAACTTCACCAATGTCGATGCCTTGACTCCTATGCGCCAACACAGACATCGACACAGACTGGAACGAGCTCTTCCACTCTTTCTACACCAGCTGGTACCACCCCAGCCAACCCGTCAGCCAACCCACATTCGCGCACCTCGGCACCAACACACCGGCCGAGACGGCCGCTTTCGAAGAAGAAACGCGCATTCTGCTCAAAGAAGTCAACGCAAATACAGACTCGGTATTTTGGATAAAGTTTGTAGATTCTAAGAGTGGGCAGATTGTAGGCGGCATGTGCTATAGGCACGAATTGACCTGGCCAAAGCAGGAGACTTTTGTGCCGAGTTGGTTTGAGGAGGGAACTGAGATGCGGAGGTTGAGTGAAGGGTTTTATGGGGAGTTGTTGAGGTGGAGGAAGATGTTGATGAAGGGGGAGGATATGTGTCAGTATTTCTGTTCCTGTATCTAGGACGTGCAGGAGTGATCGTGTTCTAACAACATCCAGACGGCGAGTTTGCCTGGGTCGATCTCGCGTACCGCAACTGACCTGCATCACAGATGATTGTTGAATTCGGGTTGAGGAAAGTCGACGCGATGGGTCTAGAAGCCTATGGGGAAGTGAATCTGTCGGAGATCGTGAGTGATCAGTACGCTGTGGGAAGAATTGAAGGATTGAACTGAGGTTGTATTGGGTGAAGCTACGGACAGTACATATAGGTGAGTAGCTGTAAACAACGCTAGTGTGACGTGGCAGTCACTCTCATGGAGGTGAGGTTCGACAGGCAAGAGCGCCCTGAACCGTGACACAAAGCGTTGCAGTTTGAGACCCAGGTGTCCTACATGCACGGAGCAGAACCTTCACAGTCTACACACCCAGCAACTCTGCAGCATCAATGTACTAATTTAACTACTCCACCGCCTCGTACATTATGGGGTGAGTGTGGAGAAAGTAATGATGGGGATGTTGGCAGCACCTCTGGCAATATCGGTGATTACTGAAATGTGCGGACCCCTCCACCACTGGTTCAGTGATGTAATAGTACTTGTAGATGTGTTTTATATAGTGATTCCGGTGCAATTGGCATCTTGTTCCACCTTCTCCTTCATCCCAATTCACTCAGATGGGTCGCAAACTTCATCCAGAGAAGCTAAGGGATGTTCTCATCGACCTCTATACTTCACTGGGATACCGTACTATCGCCAAGAAGCATAGATGTAGTAGAAACACAGTCAAGCGCATCGCGTTGAGCATGGACTTGTACGATAACCCATATCCGCCCGAGAGTATGGTGAGAGGTCGCCCAAAGTTACTGTTGCCGGCACAGGAGGAAGTGAGTACAGCCATTATACACACAAATCGTTCAGTGCTGATGCTCTTAGGCCTTGTTGGAGTACCTCCGCGAGCGCCCGATTGCATACTTAGATGAGATGAGAGAGTTTTTGTACGATGATTTCAACGTCATTGTGTCCGAACCCACTATCTATCGCACTCTAGAGCAACGCGGATGGACCAGAAAAGTTGCTTCAAAGCACGCTAAGGCACGTAGTGAAGCACTCCGGCAGCATTTCCACCAGATCTCACGCCATTGGCAGCGTCATCAGATCATTGCCATTGATGAGAGTGCTGCTAATGAGCGTACAGCCGACCGCAAGTGAGGATGGAGTGTAGCCAGTGAAGGATGTGTGAGTGAGTACTTCGGTACTCGCGCTCGAAGAGTAAGCGTCATCCCAGCGATGGATGTGAATGGGTACTTTGCGTGCGAGATCATCGAAGGAGGCATGACAAAGCAGCTTTTTGAGACCTTCATGGAGGAGAAAGTGCTGCCAAATTGCCGTCCATGGCCTCAATCAAGGTCTATTATCCTCATGGATAACGCCTCAGCTCATAACAGTTATCGGGTTCGAGCACTCTGTCATGCGAGGGGTGTCTTGTTGGTGGAGTTGCCGCCATACTCTCCAGACTACAACCCCATTGAACAGACCTTTTGGGTGTTGAAAAGCTTCACAAGACGCCATTGGTCATCGGTCAACAGCTTTGAGGACTTGCCTGGTTTCCTGAGGTGGGCGATCAGTCAGTGCTGTGTGGGAAAGAGCTTCTCAGGCATGTACAAACGTTGTGGGTACCTCGGCCCTGACGTTGATCCGTGGTTGTGAAGATTCCAGATTCTGGCAATCTAGACAAACCTGCAACAACCACCACAACGCTTAATAAACTATCGCGACACTTGGAATAGATAATTTAGGTGTAGTTTGAGCGTTTTGCAGTGTCAGAATTAATGCAATGGGTCAAAAATGGTCGTGATTGAATTATTGAAAGTTGTGTTATGATGTTGTTGTTCAACCCACTAGCGCGAAATCTACCTTGCTTAGGTTTGGCGTCCCCCAGGGTTTCAGCCACCCCCCGCCATCTTTTAGATTTCCAGCTAAATATTCCCTCAAATGCCTCCACACACGTCACATCCACTATCCATCAACATCCACACGTCACCTAGCCAAATTGATATGTGCAATTAATCTGGTATACCCAAAAGCATGATCTCACAACTCACTTTAGACTTGTCACCATCGCTCGTTGTTGCTGAGGGGTGGAGTGAGATGCCTAAACATAGTAAGGTTAGATAGCAGAGGAGTTGTTTAGGGTGAGCGTTGCTTCAACTTCAAAACTTTCGCTTGAATGGCCATCATCACAACACCACTACAACGTCTAATTTACTTGTCGCTTGGTGTGAGAGCTCAGAAAGATATATAGAAACAGCGCCTGAATTTTTTTTATACTTTTATCTATAAACGTTGATGCAAGATTCCAGTTAGCAACGCCAGAAATTACGACCCAGCAACGTCAACCATATGATCACCATAATCATCCGCCTCCGCCGCCACCCGGGATAAATAGTCAGAATCGAACACAAGTTGATCCCAGCCATGCCTTACATCCACCCATCGTCTCCAATTAGGCAAGGCAATGAAGTCTTCTAACATAGACCTCATTCTGCCAAGCGTTATCGCAAAGTATCCCATGTCATCACACCACATTGAAAGTGATAGTTTACTAGGATCCCGGAGGGACTCTACGCTCCAGCCACGACCAACTAATACCTTGGCCAGGTCAACAATAAGACAGGCTTGAGGGGCGTCGTCCTTCTCCTGGTCGTGCCAATACGAAAAAAACGCTTGGAGGAGCCTGTACGAGGGTACGCCACTGCCAAATGCATCAAAGTTGCCTGACTTATCTGGAGTAATAGGAGCCGTAGATGCGGAGGCATCTGAAGTACTTTTATCAGTACCTTTGTTGACCAAATCCTCCACCAATGAGGCCTGAGCCCGAGCCATATACACCTTGCAGAGGGACATCCCAAGCTCTTTCATATCACTGATCTCACCTTTGAGGTCAGCTGTCACGGTATCCTCTCCAGATCCCCTGACAATATCCGGATCCGCTCCGTACTATCCCTGACCGTACGCACCAAATCCCCAGCGTCCTTACACACCTCCGAAGCGGACGTACAACCTCCGGTCACCTCCGGAGCGGGCCTGCAACCTCTGAGGCGGGAGTATTAGGATTCTGCAAGCCCTGCTCTGGGACTTGCAACCCCGATACCTATCCACCTCAGTTCCGATTATTAACCGGTAACCGAACGAACCCACACGTAAGTATATAGACTATTGCTGGTAGAGTTCTGTTCGGTACACAACGTCTTGTACCTACTTAGATATCGTACGTAGTAATTGATTTAGACTCCCAGCGAGTCGTAAAGGGCCTACTCGTAGCATCTTCGTGACACAGCGATAGCATCAACAGTGAGGTTTCTGGGTGCCCTGGACCTTGCTTTCTCCTGTACAAGAAGGCCTCTGATGTTCTCTGAGGGCTCATT